CTGATTGTAAAACTAATGACATTATTTACTTTACATTTATTTTGAAAGATGAAGCTCGCGATTATGGTAAGGGAAGTTACAATTCCGACGAGTGCTTGCGGTGTTCTGGCCAATCACAATGCACTGGGTCAGCTGGCCAATCAGAGCAGACTGCGCTTTTCGGAAGGAGGGACTTTGTATAAAACGAAGCGTTTGAGAGAGGCGGGGCATAGAGGACCTACAATAATGTACAGTATTTGAAAAAGAATGTGTTTTTTGAACATTAAAGCATGTCAACATATTCTGTTACACAAAATAATGATCTTTTAAAAAAGCATCATATGACCCCTTTAACATTTAAAGGAAAATGCTACAAAAGTGCGTGCTCTGAAAAGAGCTGTTTTTGACAGGGTAAAAAAGGTGTTTTTTACACTACCATTGAGAAATTTTAACCAAACTATGTTACAGACTTTTCATTAAGACCCTAAAGAATCATATCAACTTGTGGAAAATGGGCATCCTATGACCCTTTTAATAAAATAAATAAATTATAAAAATGCAGTTTCGTGTCTTATACAAATTATTTATGGCCATTAAATTTTCATTATCCAAAGTAAAGCAATACACCATCGTGTGTTACACAGTTAAGAGATTTTTCCAAAGAACACCCCATACCCGAGGTAAAATCACTGTAATGCACAGCCTCTTGTGGTTTACTGGCCTATCTGTATATCATCTGTTACAGCTGTAAAACACAGTAAAGTAAACAGCAAGAATACTTTGACATGACCTACCTTCCATGACATAGACCAGGGAGCCCACATCGCCTTCTTTGATGATACAACTATCTTTATCATACTCCACAGGGTACATGCAGTCCACAATCTCCTGAATCTGAGACAGCTCCAAGTTCTTCATGAAGTCATTGTCAAGAATGGCCTCTTTGATTAGTTCTTTAGACCTGTGGATAACAAGGACTAAATGAAAAAACTGCTTAATTTAAAAATAGGGGTGGACGATATGGCAAAAATATCATATCACGATTTTGTAAGGAAGGATCACGATACACCATCTTATCATGATTTTTTTTTTCATGTTGATTTTTAAGACTATTTTGCAAGCTATGATAAAAATCTAGTAAGCCCTACAACTAACACGCAAGTAAAAAGTGCTCAAGCTTATTCAAGACAAGTAAACAGTCAAAATAAAGAACAAATAAGAAGCAATGTATCAAATAAATAAAATAGAACAAAGATACAAATGAAGTAAACAGTGCTTTAAATTTTTCAGGTAATAGTTCGATGAAAAATGCAACACTTTATGACTTAAATATACAGCGATTTTAATTAAATCTACAAAAAAATTATTTGGTCAAAAGCAGTGAGTGATTTTCTTTTTTTTCTTATGTTGTTTGATTAATATTAATGGTACAGGCAGTAGCAGATTTATTATGGCTGCTGTCACTTTAAGACCTAATTCACAGACCTAATATACTGACACACATCCTACTTTCTCACAACTATTTACATTCAACTAAAACATAACTAAATGGGTTTACATGGATACCTGCCACAGCATGCATTTTGACACATTTTTGTGTGTATTTGACCTCTGCGGCCTTCAAAGGCATGACCTTTGAAGTCTGCATCCTTCGAAGGATGCAGCCTCAGAACTGGGACACAGCTAGTACGTTGTTACCGGATTCGGATCTCTTTCTCAGCTTACTGCGCTTTTAATATCAACTACGTCACACTCTTTGCTTTCTCATTCGTCCATTGCTCTGTTAATAACTTTAAAAAATCCTGCCAACTGAAAAATGTGTGGATATATTTATATATAGACATAAATAGGACGCATTAGGTCACAGTCTCTAAAATTTGCTTGAAAAGTAGATAAAGATCACTGTTTATAAAACAAAAACAGATGAAGACATTTTTGAAAACCCATAAGCAAAGCTACTGGGTTCCTCCGAAAGAACTGAAATCTCACAGATCTCTCATTTTTTCTTAAAATACTAGACACCTCCATTCAACACCAAAGCGTGTGAGATTACTCACAGAAAAGTGTCAGCCGCTGAAATAATCAGAGAGAATCTTCCATACCTGGGTTTGTGAATGCAATCAATACCTCACCACATCAATGGATGAATTCCTTCATATGGAGTGCATCTTGGCTCTACATGATGAGTCATTTTCATTGACAACACCACAGTTTATTGGAAAAATGCTTGTCAGGTGGCCTTGCTAGTGCCACTGCATTCCAAGTTCCATTCCACAAATCTATTTCTTAATCATGCACTGGACAAATTTGATTATTCAATCATTGCACAAGCAGATCTGCTTGTGGAAATATTGGATCTTTTTTCTCCTTTGTTTAGAAATGGCAGCGTGGCAGAGATGATGGCAAGAATGGACCATCTGTGCAAGAGTGCACGAGTACTGGAGCCCGAGGAGGACATGGGGCGGACAGATGATTGCTCAGATACACTGCGTTACTACCACTCACACACTCCTGCTGGGTACTAATGTCCCATGGGCGGATGATAAGACCTCACGATCTGTAGATCTGCCTGGACTAATGACATTAACTATCAGCACAGTTTCTGATTCGTCATCCATGTGGGCACCAGCGCTTCAAACAATGGCGTTTTTGTATAAGAAACTGACCTCTCACTAAATATAACTCACTAATTCTTGAGATATGAGACAAAACAAGTACTGCACCTACCATTACTTGGCAAAAAAACAACATTTGGGGAGAGATGATCACTAAAATATTAACATGTTAATTTATATCAAATTATGATATTACATTATCACTAACTCAGATGAATATTCAAAGATAACTAAAGGCTTGTTCACACCAAGGACGATAACTATAAAGATAACGATAAAGATATGGTTCTAAAAATCGTTCTCAATATTAAATAATAGCAGAGTCCACACCACAGTTATAACGATAAAGGCACAGGGAAACAATATTGTTGGAATCACTTTCTGAACAATTTTTTCCAGCTGATGATCGATAAAAACAATGATACCCAATCAGAATCAATCCTGCTATAACGAGCTTGAGAATTTAAAGCGGCAGACGAGTGTGCGCTTAGAATAAACAGACAATATCATCCGCCATTATAGACGCTAATGTAGTTATCGTTATAGTTATCGTTCATGGTGTGGACGGGTCTTAAGACTACTGTTTAGTAAAAAATCTCTATGTTGATTACACCAAAAAGTGTAAAAAATTGTGGCACTAATGCACCTCTTTTATAAAGTTTTGCAAATATGTTCTTACTTTTTGTCTTTACTTATTAAAGCGTTTTTTTTTTTTAAAGCATTAAAAACTAGGCAACTTCAAAGTCAGTGTTTTTCCTGAAGGTCCTCTTTTCATATTTCACTAGCCATGAGTTCAAAATTATTACAGCCTTTATTTTTATATATATATATTTTATATATACTTGTACAACCTCAATATTAACTCAAAATATTATGTAAATCAGTTGTTTGAGATTTTTAGGCAATTTTCCAAATTTTGTCATGTTACTGTCAACTGTCATGTTAGCTAATATCACCAGAAAAACAATGACTAATATGTGATATCAAAATATGTGTTTCCTTAACACCTCCACTTTATTTATTAAAGTGAATGCAAAATTTAACAATATTTTGGCTTTATTTATTGATTTATTATTATTATTTTTTTTGCATCTGATGGTGCTGACACAAATTTAATAATTTAATAATGTTTATTAGTTCTAACAAATAAGTTTTTGCTCAAAACTAACCAAAGTTAAAAATTATTTGTTTATAAATTCCACACAAGAGGGACTTGGTGTTGTTTCAAAACAAAGGGAAATATATATCGGTATCGGTTAATGGCCAAAATGATTTTAAAATATGTGCATATCAGATATCGGCAAAAATCTAATATCGTGCATCCCTAATTTAAAATAGTGCTCTTGATTTCACTTTTTTCCTAGTACTCAGGAATCAGTGAACTACTGATATTGAAAAAGACCAAATACACAAAAAAGCAACTGTGTATCGTCTTTGACTGAGGTCAGCTGATAAAACTCGAGTCATCACTGCTAATAACTGTTCAAATCAAACTCAGGCAGCAGCAGATATGCATGATCATTTGTATGCATATTAATTCCAAGGGGAACATTGATGACTGACATTAATAGGACACTTATAGGATTATAAACTCATTTCATGTGCTGTTTTCTTATCAACCCCATTGTGCAATTGTCTAGAGAAATATGGCTTCAATTGTTCCTTCTGTCTGACACTGAAAGGGGGATTAACAAAAAATCATTCTACTTTTCATACTTGATGAAGACATTACATTGAGACAATCTATCATTCCCACACAGACATGGTGAGCGATCGACCGGCTATAATGAGAGGCGTAAATAAGACTAGGGGACAGGGGAACAGAAGACAGGTAAGACTTGATCACTCAAAATGGTGCAGGTGCACTCTAAGAAAAGTCTGTAAAAATCGGCATAAGGTACTGTGTTAATATGAACCAATTTTCCATATTTTTTTCACAGGTGTTTAATCCGTATTTTGAATTTTGCATTGCATTGTGTTGTGTTTTAGGGTTAAAGGTCAGCAAATGTAACGGATAATGTCCTGGAATTGTCTATGGATTTTTTTCTTTAAGTGTGATGCTGTACCATTCCCAATTCAAATATGATATTAAATTACATTAACAAATCAAAGACATTCAATTCAATTTTAATTTTATATCAGGACAGTATGCACAGGAAAGCAACCTGTTTAACTTCCATAATGTGATATATTTATAAGTGAATCAGGATATTCAGTTAGATCACACGTAGGCACAAAGGGATTCTGTACGTTTTTCAGTTATGATGCAATGACTTCTGAGTTTAGAATCAGCTCACTGAAATGGATTTATCAGAAATTAATTGCACCAACCCTAATAGCACTTTTGCTTCTGAAGTTTAAATGAGAGATGCAATGAAAACTTAACACTCATAATGCTCTCATTAAACGCATTACAACCGAATTAACTCCTGAAAAATTGATGTAGTGACCACCAAATTTACAGAAATTCTACACAGTGTGTACGGAACTGAACAACTGATTTGAGAGATTTATGTCTTTTAAGTATGTGCGATGCAAGAAATCATTTTGACACATTAGTGTTTTGACTCATTAGTGTTGCAAGAGCTTGCTAGTAAAACACAACAACGAATAAGAACAAGCCCAAAATAAACTTAAATCCAAATGTGTTATCTTGGAAATAAGCCACATACCAAAATATCGTGACCTGCACCTGCCTACTTTATTAACTTTATAAACTGGATTGCTTTATGAGCCGAGCCCAAACAACAATCCCAAAGATGCCTAATAAGCGCCGCTTATAAAAAGTGGACATGGCAACCCTTAAAGAGTGCAGTCTGTGAAGTAGCCTTCCAGATATAAACAAAATACGATGGCACTGTTGATGGTGGTTTAGTTAAAATTGCAGAACACGATGAGCCTTTGGTCACTGTAATATTACTATGGTTAAAAATAGCGGATACCAAACGCACGAGAGGCCAGAACACTGCTCATCATATTATCTTGGTGTCAATCATCAGAGTTTCGAAAATGAATTCTGTTCCATACACAAACACGAAATGAAAATTTGGGGATTCACTCTTGTATTTAAATGTGGTTGGCACTCCTGAAGCTTCACAGGGTGTGCATGGCCTTTAGGAGTTATAATGTCAACAATAAAAGTTAATTGTATCCTACTCTGTTTTAGAAGGCAGGACTTGATTTTATTGGGAATTTGGGCTTGTCAATTTTAATTTCATGTTGACATTACAACCCTCTACAATGCTAGTAAATCACTCGCATATGCGATAGGCAGCTTATCAGTAGCAGTAGTAGTATAATTAGTAGTAGTAGTAGTACTATTTTATTAGTATTATTGTACTTCAAA